TGTGTGTTTGTTGGTTATTTCTCAAGTCAAAAAGGATACAAATATTTTTTCCTAGGAACTCATCGTTTTTACAATACTATAGATGTAACATTATGTGAAAACCAACCATTTTATCCCACAACTAACATTCAGGGGGAGAATTTCACTCAAAAGTATCAGTTATGGGATATAAGTCCTCTACCATTCCATACCTTGATACCATCTCCTCAAAATACAAATATCCAGAAAACCACTGAAAAATCAGAATCCATCATAGATACTAATGACACATTACCTGCAAAAAGTAAGCTACGTGTCTACATAAGAAGAAACAAAACTCAAGATAGTAGAATTCCTAAATCAACTACGCAAAGTCATGAGTCAACTCCTGAACCAAGCACTCATAATACTACAGGTAATGAAATTACTGACCCGTTAGTTAATATTGAAATTAATGCTGAACTTCCTGTGACTTTGAGGAAGGGTGTTCGTTCTTGTACCTTGCATCCCATACAAGACTATTCGTCATATGGCAAATTATCTCCTACCTACAAAGCCCTTGTCAGTAAGCTTGATAACAACATGATCCCAAGAACTATTCATGAGGCACTTAAGTTTTCAGAATGGAAAGCCGCAACCCAAGAAGAGCTCGCAGCACTTGAGATGGGAAGTTTATGACCTACCTTCAGGGAAAAAGGCTGTAGGATACAAATGGATCTTTACCACAAAATACAATCCTAATGGAATTATAAGCCGTCATAAAGCTCGCCATGTTGCCAAGGGCTTCACTCAATCATATGGGATTAACTATCAGAAAACTTTTGCTCTAATTGCAAAACACAACACTATACGTGTCCTATTCTCCTTGGCCTCTAGCCTTGATTGGCCGTTTCATCAACTGGACGTAAAGAATGTCTTCCTTAATGGAGATCTAGAAGAAGAGATTTACATGAAAGTTCCCCCTGGGCTTAGCATCAGGCCTGGGAAAGTATGCAGATTAAAAAAGACTCTCTATGGTCTTAAGCAATCTCCAAGGATATGGTTTGAGAAATTCTCAAGGGCAGTGAAACAAATGGGATACACTCAGTGTCAGTCTGATCACACATTGTTTGCCAAAAATAAATAAACAGGGAAGAAATATAATCCTAATTGTATATGTTGATGACATTATCTTAACAGGTGATGATGACGAAAAAATCTTGGAACTTAAAAGATTTCTGGCAAAAGAATTCAAGATCAAAAGCCTTGAATTATTTCGATATTTTCTGGGAATGAAAGTAGCTCGATCTAAGAAAGGCATTTCTGTCTCACAACGCAAATATATCTTAGATCTTTTGAAAGAAACAGGTATGTTTGGGTATAAACCTGCAGGAACACCAATGGAGTCCAATGTCAAACTCAGTCTCAAAAATGATAACAAACCTGTTGATAAAGAGAGGTACCAGAGACTTGTTGGAAAACTTATCTATCTTGCTCATACTAGACCTAACATCAGCTTTGCTGTAAGCACTGTAAGTCAATTTATGGCTGAACTAACTGAAAAACATATGAGTGTTGTTTACCGAATTCTAAGATACCTAAAGATAACTCCTGGTCAAGGATTATTCTTCCAGAAAACAATAAACCGGGACATTGAGATCTTCGCTGATGCAGATTGGGCAGAATCAGTGACAGATAGAAGATCAACAACTGGCTACTGTACATATGTGTGGGGCAACCTAGTCACTTGGCGAATTAAGAAACAGTTAGTTGTATCTAGGAGTAATGCTGAAGCTGAATTAAGGTCTCCTACTCATGGAATATGTGAAGGTATATGGCTGAAGAAGATTCTATCTGAACTAAGCTTTAACGTTCCTTATCCTATGAATGGTGTGATAATCAATCAACCATCAGTATGGCCAAAGACCCAGTGCATCATGACAGAATTAAACATGTGGAAATTGATCGTCACTTCATTAAAGAGAAGATAGAAGACAAGACCATTAATCTACAATATATTTCTACTGATCTTCAGACTCTAGACATCCTTACAAAAGCACTACCAACAGTAAAATTTGATAACTTTGTATCCAATTTAGCTTTACTTAATATACATGTACAACCTAGATTGAGGGGGAGTGTAGAAAATAAATATTAGATGGTTAGAATTAAAAGGTAGAATTGTATTTTCATTTTCTGGACAGGTGGAAAAGTCCACCACCACCAAAATTTGTTATTTTTGTTGCTTCCGTCTTTCATTCTATTTTGGGGACCACACCTTAAATTTTGATGTGTCATCTTGGTTGCTGGGTGCTCATAAAAGACACATCTCCGCCTCTGTATAGAGAAAGCAAGAAAGAAGAGAAGAATTTCTCATTCTCAATCTCACTCAAATTTGCTTCCAGTAAATTCTTTAAATATTAATATGAATATAACGTTTATGGGATAGGGACGTCAAAAGATTTGCACGTAAAAATTGATTGAAGAGTCCAAGAACCAGATTCTACGCTCAGGCCCAATCACCAAAATTGAGGAGCTGAATCAAAAAGCTTCATATCAACAGCTTTACAATCATTAAGATTTCAAAAGAAAAACATATTCCATAGATGATAACTATAGAGTAATCAGAAAATAGATGAAATAGGAATATTATGAGTACAGAAAAAATTACATATCCAAAGGACAAGTAGCCAAAGGGACATTTATCAATCTAATAACCCTCCTAGGAGGAAAAAAACAAAAAAAAAAGTAAAAAACGAAAAAAAAAAATCACCTACCATCAAAGCAAGAAGACGAAGAGAGGATGCAAAAACGCTAGAAATAGCTTTCCACGGAAAAAGTGCTCCTTTCCAACAATCAAAAGACTTAGAAATCCTATTTGCCACTAGGTCCCAAATAAGAAGCTTATTGAGGAGTACCCCCAAGAGGGACAACTAAATAAGTGATAAGCCCCTAAGAAATCACACTTGGCATCTCCCCTTTAACCATTTGACTCCCTATGTTAGTACCCATTAAACCACACTTTCTAAGTTAATGCGAAACTGAATACTCTGAAAAATTG